CTCCTCACTAATGTATCACTTCTAGAAACACATTTCTCAGAGCCCCTTTCCCTCCATGGCTTCCTGTGGACTTGTTAAGTGAGAGCATCTCCCATAAGACTTGGAAGACAGATAGGAGGGTTCACTACTTACCTAAGTCCACAGGGAGATTCAGGGGCAGAGGAGACGACTGGAGAATCACTTGAGGAGGTGTCCCAGTCTGTTGAGGGGTCAGCACCTCACTCTTTACCTCCTGGACAGGTCTGAGGACCATAAAGTGAGGCATCTACTTTAAGTGACAGATGCACTCTGCCTTCTAGGGGAACACCAGGGAATTGCATTTTCCAATCTGCTCTTCTATCATACTCAGGATTTGAGAGATTGTATTTTCCATTTTAATTAGCTATATTAAACAATTACTGCTTAGAATATGGAGAGTGACTTTTCTTTTCTTCAATGAATTTCAAATGACTCCATAAGACAAGTTCCTCTAGTGTAAGAATCTCTGTTCTTAGTGAAAGCAGAAGAGGCATTGTCTTGTCTGTGATGTTGCAGCTGAGGAGGAAGAGAGAGTTAGGGTGCAGGGGAGCCTCCCTAGCCCCTCCTACAAAAACCTTCCAGTGACTGCAAAGCCTGGCTGCATCTGAGAAACACCCTCAGCAGATGGAGACCCCAGGAGGAGCAGCTGGGGAAGCCCAACCTCACACTTCTATCTCCCTCGATGGTTTATGTTTGGGCTTGTAGCACTGTGCGAGGGGTACTGTAACCTTGTTGACAGAAATAAATTCCAACATCTTCAGCTTCCAGATTGTTGATGGTGAGAGTGAAATCTGTCCCAGACCCACTGCCACTGAACCTTGAGGGCACCCCAGTTTGCAAACTGGATGCCCCATAGATCAGGAGCTTAGGAGATTTCCCTGGTTTCTGCTGATACCAGTGTAAAGTACTGCTAATGCCCTGACTCGCCCGGCAGCTGATGGTGACTTTGTCTCCTAGAGAAGCAGGCAGAGAGGATGGAGACTGGGTCATCTGGATGTCACACCTGGCACCTGAGAGTGGAAACAGAAAAGCAAATATCCACATAATTAATCGTGTTATGGGAGGACTTTCCTGAAGGGCCAGCAGCACTGACTGCACTGTCCTGTTCTCCTTCCTTACCTGGGAGCCAGAGCAGCAGGAGCCCCAGGAGCTGAGCAGGGACCCTCATGTCCATGTTGTGTCCTAGCAGAGATTGACCGTGCACAGCCTGTGACCAGCCTATTAATAAGTCTTCAGGCTGTGGGCTGTGCTCTGGGAACATGCAAATGAATGGGAGATGAGGTGGGGCTAAGCATAGCTGCAGGACTGGTTTATTTCTAAGATCTCAGCTCAAGGCCAGGATCCCAGGGGTCCCAAGTCAGGCCAGGGGAGCACAAATTTGTCTGCAAAGAGCACAGATTTGTTTCTCCGTGGGGCCATTTTTTCACATAGAATATTTAAGGGCAATTGCCAAAACTGAAGTGGACCCAAGGACTTGATGGAGTAGTCTACAAGGTGAAGGTACTAGGCTTCAGTGCAACCCTAAAAGTCTGCACACGGGACAGACCATAGAGCCTGGAGTGAGCATGGCTAGGATGGCCCTCAGTAGATGGTGACAGAAGGAGGTGTATGTACACCCACCTGTCTCTCTTTCATGTGGAATCACCGAGAGGCACTTCCCCCATGTTTCCTCTTGAGCGTCGGCCATCCTCAGTGCTAGCTGCTTTGTTAATGTGCCTTTCGCAGTCCGTCTTCTATTTTCTGCCTCACTTTTTTTCCTTCTCTCCAGCGTTTCCTGTACTTTGTAATTATGATGCCTTTGTGGGAATAAACATCACTACTAAACCCAACCTTAGACAATGAGCAAATCCTTATCCTTAGGAGGTGTCTCTGATCTGAATTCTCCCTTCCCTCTTGTGATTTTTTTTGATGGGTAGAAAAATTCAGAAAATATTAACGTTTCTTGTAGCAATGTCTCTTAAAATGGATTTAAGTAGTAATCTGTTTCTCTTGGGGCACGAAATCAAAGGAATCTAACAAACAGCTATGTACCACAAAGTCTACATTATAGAGCTGAATAAGTATTCCTTAATCCGGGGACCAGCAGTTAGCGTAATGGCTATGTCACTGAACTCCCACGTAGTCGACCAAGGTTCGAGTCCTGGACCCGGTGGCTTAAACTCACGCTGGGTGCGTGTGCGTGCGTGCCCAGGATCCCAAGAGGAGAATGGAGGAGAAGGGATTGCGGTATGGCCATAGCCCCTGGGGGTTGATTTCCGCTTTCTGTCTCTCTGTCTCTCTCTGTCTGGTGAGCGCATGTGCTGAAGGGCTTTCCCCTCAGGAACCAGCAGCAACGGATGGGACACAAAGCACCACAGGCCGATATTGAGCCTCTCCCAGTAGTACGCAGCATCTTTAAAAAGGAATTTATAGTTTTATCAACTGTACGAGGGAGAAATGTTCACCTGTTGAAATATCCATTTTGTAGGCCAAATAATGTGATTGAATGTATAACAGAAAGTAATGAAAAAGAAAAGCAGAAATAAAAACCAAAAGTAAATTTGGGTTAGTGTTCTTTATTTGTGAATATGAATAAGTGTCGTTAGAATTTTTCCAGAAGTCAGAAGCATAGTGGCTTGACTGTGAACATGTTACAGATGCAAAGTACCAGACCCACCTGAGACCTGCAGAATGAGAATCTGCATTTATTTTTATAGAACAGCAGATGATCAGTAGAAATTTTTCTTTCTTTAATTGCCAGAGGGGCCTGTGCTCACCAGAGGGTTCATGAATTCACCAGAGAAAGACAGAGACAAAAAGAGGGAAAAAGCAAGTCCCAATGAGATGTGGTTATGTAGCAATCTTTTCTCTTCTATCTCTCCATCCTGTGGGTATTTGGGGCATGTACACATATGTACCCAGAGTGTTTTTCAAGTCATTGGGAATGGGATTTGAATTGTAGCTGGCCACGAGGAAACCTGACTCTCTTAATCACCAGGACCAACCTGATCTGTGGTGTTATTTAAGAAGATTTCTTTTAGACAACACTTATTTTAGCTGAGCAATCCTCTCGGCCCCGTGAGGCTATTTAAGAAAATTTCTAGGGCCAGCAGGTGGCGCAGCAGTAATACAATGGTCCACAGTCCTGCCATCACAGGGGAAGGTTCTGGATCTGTATTTAGAGGTCTCCATTACTATGCCAGGCATTCCCATGTTCATGACCCTGTCTGGTTGAGTCTGCAGGTAGACTGCAGCATGAAGGGGGTGTCTCACTTAGAAAAAAAAAATAAAATTGGGGAACTAGCAGTTACCGTAATGGCTATGTCACTGGACTCCCACGTAGTCGACCGCGGTTCGCATCCTGGACCCGGTGGCTTAAAACTCATGCCAGGCGCATGTGCGTGCATGCCCAAGATCCTGAGAGGAGAATGGAGAAGAGATTGTGGTGTGACCATCCCCCCTGGGAGGGGTGATTTCTCGCTTTCTGTCTCTATCTCTCTCTCTCTTCTGTCTGGCGAGTGCACACACCGTATAGCGAAAAAACCCTCCAAAAAAAAAAAAAGAAAAGAAAAAAATAAAATTAAAAACAAAGAACTTTCTATTTAAAGTCACATATCAGAACATACCTAGCTTTGCTACCTGAAGTGAAATTATATTTGAAAATCTTTTAAACATCATGAATATTGAAAAAGTTAAGTTATCCATTGATAAATTACGCTGATAAGAAAACGGAGCAAACATTTTTAGAAACCCGAAGAATTACAACTTTGAAAGAATAAATTAAACTTGGTGTGAATCCATCTTGGTAACTGTATTAGTTAAATCTACCAGGCTAATTTAAGGGTGCTGTTCACTTCTACAGCTTGCATAAGAATGTTGTGTCCCATGTAGTTACTGTTTTTCAATTCTGTATTGGTTGGTTTTCACACAGTAATGATTGATTTAAAACCCTAAATGGTTTGAAACACTAAGTATTTATTTTCATGCTCACAAGTTTTGTTATTTTGGAGATTTTTTTTTTTTTTGTAATAGGGTGCTGTGCTCTCGCCAGACAGACAGCAAGAGAAGAGACAGAGAGACAGAAAGCGAGAAATCACCCCCCAGGGGGATGACCACGCTGCAATCCCTTCTCTTCCATTCTCCTCTCAGGATCTTGGGCACGCACACACACCGGCCCAGCGTGAGTTTAAGCTGCCAGATCCGAGACTCAAACTGTGGTTGGCTACGAGGGAGTCCAGTGACATAGCCATTATGCCAACTGCTGGTCCCACGAGTTTTCATGTTGATACTGATCTGACTGATCAAGGTGGGATTCAGCCAAGTGGTTCTTGCAGAAACTGAACTTGTTTCCAGGAAACTGAACTTGTTTCCAGCCTATATATTGTGTTTATCTGAAGCAAAGATGAAAGTAGGGCACAATATTCTAATGGCAGATTGTAGGAGTGAAAAAGTCCCCCAACCAAGCTGTACTGGCATATATACATTTAATCTCCAATGCGGGTTACATAAAATTTTGATTTAGACTTTCAATTTGGTAATTCCTTACTTTTAAAAATATTTACTTTATTTAACTATCAAGGTATTTGATCATTCCATAGACAGATAATTGTATTTTTCAACCTTTACAAATTGCAAAACTTTCCAAATGTAAGGTTGCATTATTGAGAAAATAAACTGGGTATATTCTCAGCATTTAGCTTTAAATAGAAATTTTCTTAAATAACTTCATTGAGGAAAAATGTCTCTTTACCTAAAACAAACATCCTCTAAACCATAACTTCTTATATGTTCTTTAGATTGCCTGCTACCTCGCTAAAATGCAGAATGTCCCTCAGCAGCTCTCAGGTGTACACTGGCATATGTAACATGCTCTTGGTGAGGCTCCTGGTGATGTTGGCTTCTAGACAACTGAATTCTGAGTTGCAAGGTATTACCATATTAAGGGAAAAGTATGCTCTATACATACTTACAATTTTGTTTACTTGTTAAGAAAAGATTTTCATTGCCAGGTGATATTCTCATTTTTCTATTTATTCTATGACTTCATAAAGTTTTCTTGTTCTACTCAACTCGATGATAATATTGGAAGCACATCTTAGCGTGTTCTGGAGCCACAGCCTACCTGGGAAATACTGAGATTTGGGAAGAGTGGCCACGGTGGTCTGTCAGCTGTCAACTTCCCACCATAACCATCACTTCTGGAGGCATATTTCTCAGATCTCCTTTCCTTCTATGGTTTCCTCTAGAGTTGTTGAATATGACACATGATTTGTGAGATAGGGACAAGGGTTCACTATTTAAAAAAAAATTCATTATTCTGTTTTTAAAATTTTTTTTATTGGGATGAATAGAAATATCATCATGCATACTTTAATCCTAATGAACACATATTATTGAATCAATTAGTGAAGTAACCTGCTACACAACAGAATTTAGTTAATTTCTTAATGAACATGTTCTATTTTTCTTTTTTTTTTTACATTTTCCTTTTTGTCAAATGATCCTCCCCTTGTAGTTCATACCTACTTGCCAGCACCCACTCGCTACTATCCACTCTCTCCCCCTACAGTCTCTAACATTTACACCCACTCTCTCCAGCATCACATTTTCAAGTCTCAACCTCTGCCGTAGCACTCAGTACAAATTTTATATATATATATATGATAAATATATATGCATACATATAATACATGTGTGTATGTGTGTATATATATGTATGTGTGTGTATATATATATATATACATATATATGTGTGTATATATATAT